CATTAGAACATAAGCCTAGGATTGGCTGAGGAAACATTTGGTTGTGTTCCTGCCACGAAAGCCATTACATGAAACTGTAATGAGGAGACAGGACAAGGATCCCTTCCCGTCAACGCTAATGCGTCATATCCGGAACTACTCTATGAATTCTGATACAGTTTCCTGTCAGAATCAGCACTAACGTTGTTGAACGAATTTAATTTGGTCAGTAGGCCTACCGGTGTGTTGTAACATATCAGAAAGTAGGCCAGAACTGTAACACAGAGCCTAAACAGGGCTGACAAATCCTCAGAGAATGTGACAAGTCCAAGTATTCGAGAAGGACGAAGGGTTAAGAGTCTGACCATGTCGAATTCAGGGAATTCATGTTCTTATAATAAAGGTCAAGCTATCCCTGTAACAGGCCATGGAGGGCCATTGGCTTGTGAGACGTTGAGGGTCCCACATTATCTATATAATCGCCTCACAGATGGCGGCAAGGTTGTCAGCCTTACGCGCCGGTCGCCCTTCATCCCACAGGAAGATTCCTGGTACTCATTTCTGTTAGAGACTGAGTCCACCCCAGGGCCATAATGCGGTTGGAATGATTAGGTACTTGTTGTCATGTAGCTAAGAATTATTCTTATCTTCTCTCTACAAGTATAAAGACTAAAATACAGTGTAAAACCATAATTTCACCGGAAATTATATATATACGGAAATTATATATATACATATATATCGGCATACTTTAACATAAGGAACACCCTCCCGAAGTTTGGTCCATTCCTCCTGGGACACCCTGTATATATTAGTATACAATGGTATAATTATGTCCCTTGGGACTCGCGACCATATTTTACTGTCTCAGATTTGAGACTTCCCTTTTCGTCGCCTCCTACGACTCACAGGGTCACGGTGGAGGTATTCGACCCCGCCTCCACGCGGGGTTGACTTTGACTTTGACTTCTAGTCCTAACCAAACCAAGATTTTTCTGTTCTTCAAAGCGTCCCGACCGGCTCTTGGGCTCACCCAGCCTCCTATACAGTGGGAACTGGGGGATGTTTCCCCGCGAGTAAAGAGCCAGGGGCGTGAAGCTGACCACTCACCTGCAGCTAGTGCCGAGGTCAAGAATGGTGGACCTATACCTCAATTCCCCATACGTCTTCATGGCATGGTGCTTAATTAATTAAGCACAGCGATAACTTTACCTTCATGTTACCAAATATTATTAGGGCCATAAAAATAAGGACGTGATGGTATAGACATATATCTCGCAAGGGGAAACGAGAAATGCTTTCATAATTTTGTCCGGAAATCTTGAAGGATCATTTGTGAGATCTAGATGCAGATGAGACGATAACACGGAAACATTTCTTAAAGAAATGGAATATGAGGATGTGACTTCATTCAAGGTACTCCGGATGGGGCTTTGTGGCGGACCCTTTGATCTGGATAGTAAACTTTCCGGTTCCACAACGGAATATCAGCATCTCAAGAAGGGGTATGTTCCATAGGTTCAGTCTTCTATAATCCTCAAATTACAAGACGTTAAAATCTAACCTAAAATTTAAAGCAAAAACTCATCGTGATTGAGAACTCCACAGCACAGAAAAATAAGCCTTATTTGATTCTCTTTCCTATAATTTGCATATATATAATTATAAAAAATGCCGTCTCCTGTGATGAGGCGCCTTGTAGATCTTGTGCGAACCGACGTTTTGGAGGAACCTCCATCTTCAGATTAGAAAAATCCGCTAGCGAGGAACCAGCTTGAGCAGGTAGCCGCAGACTATGCACCGACATTTCGGAGGTCTGTAGCCACCTGCTGAAGCCGGTTCATCGCTCGCGGATTTTTCTACTCTGAAGATAGAGGCGATAATTTCCTCCGAAACGTAGGTTTACACAAGATCCACACGGTGCCACATCCCAGAAGACGGCATTCTTCATAGTCACCGCCGTGAAAACCTCAAATCTTAAGCACATATTTATACTGTACACTAGAGTGCACATTTCCGTTCTTACTATTCAGACGAAGGGAGAAAGTGTAAGTGTTAACTTTGTAGTATTGATATGGAAATTAATATTGCTATTGTCTTCAGCCTGAGGCGACTATCACTGTAACCTCTTCTCTTGCTGCAGAGGCCGATCACGTTCCGGACGTTTTTACTCATTTCTTGCTTGGTGCAAGACGGGCGTAGTTACACAAACTTTAGTCGCAGTAACTCCAGAGATTATACGTGAAGTTTTTATTTAAACCATCCAGACAGAAGTTAAGAGATATAAAGGCGATAAAAGAAAATCGATTTTCTGATTATCTGACTCAATCTTTTGTTTCATTTCTCCTCATCTCGGATCTTTAAAATCCATATTTTCATTTTCTTTTTCTTCATATTACTTTCTCCCATTTCCTGTCGCCCCCTTCTCCTGGTTTTTCTAATTTATTTTCCATCCAATTTTCTTAAAATTTTCCCTTCAGTATCCTCCTCTTCCCCAGTCTTCTCTTCTTTATCCTACTTTTCTTCTCCTCCATTTTATTCTGTTTCTACTTCATATTCTCCATTTCCTCCTCCTTTCTCTCCTGACTCTCATGTTCATGCTTTTTGTGTCACAAGATTACTGCAGTTTCAGTATAAACTTTCATAAGTTATTATTAAATTTTTACGTCCTTACAAATTCACGAAACGTGTTAAAGGAATTCACCATTAGCTTGCTGTATTCTTTTTTATTCCCATATTGTTTGGAAGGATACGGATTTAAGTATCATTGTTATAATTCCTCTGTAATTTACTCGGCACCATTAACATTTCGGAACCGGAAATCTATTTCTTACTACGAACAACTGAACAGCGACGCTGCGTTCAAAATGGAAAACATGGCAACCATGTTGATATTGTTATTGTCAACGAAATGAGAAGGACTGAGGTGGACAGAGTTCAAATGGCATGACTTTCATACCGAATTTTCACGAACTTGAAACAGTGTGATGGGCAGGCGAACAGAAGAGGGGTTTATTTGGAAGAAGATACATGGAGATACGTCATTTTCGCACCAATTTCCTAAGTGATTGCAATTGTTTCTAAATGAAAGGAAACACAAGAAGCAGCCTGTAATCTTAGCTCTTGTTTCAATGAAATAAATGATGGCTATAGTCTATGATGACAATGGGAGAAAGTCCTGCAGGCTAGTAAATGAATGCTGAGAGGCATTTCCTGGATCGCTGTCCCCAGCGGATTTGTGAATGGTCACACGTGTTCTGGGTGTACCATTTCTTGAAACCGTGACCGCGTCATTGGCTGTCGTGGCTGCATTTATTGGTGGTTATCTTTTCACGGAAATGTCGGGATAGGACCTTAAAATTGGCTATGACTGCCTCTTTACAAATCTTATCTAATATATTAATCTTCCAGTCTCATTCGAGGTTTTTAATCTTTGCAGTTAAACATCGGCGCTGAAAACAGAAGAATTAATTACCTGAAATATTGCATGCTTTGAATATATTAATGTACTACTCTGGATTGTTTCATTACATTTTTATTACGAGCTAACTATCCATGCAACAGGGCATGAAGGCCCATAGGGCTGTGAGACGTCGAGGCTCCCACATTTTTTTAGACAATCGGCTCATATATTGCGATAAGGTTGCCAGGCTTACGTGCCGGCCGCCCTTTACTCCCTAGGAAGATTCCTGGTACTCATTTCTGTTAGAGGCTGAGTCGATCCCAGGGCCATAGTGCGGCTGAAAGGATTAGCATAGTGGCTCAATCAATTACGTTACCGCGCGAGTAGTGAAAATGTAATTGCTCGGAATATGATACAGATTTAGAAAATATTTTAAACTATTCTTTATTGAATTCCATCATATCCGAAACTGCTTCAAATAAACGTATCAGAACTTAATTACGTCTATAAAATTTTAATATACAAGTGTTTCTGCGTTACCCTTTTCTGAGAGAACCAATAAATTTTGACTATATAAATATGTAAATTATTCATTAGTCTAGCTTATATCTACTCCCTGACGTTAAATTTTATGGAAATTTGTTTTGTAGTTCCGGAGATATGGTCTGGGTCTTTACGTCTCCTGCAACCGGTTTTGTCAGGTTTACGCACGCAAAACTAGGTCATCTAGTTGCGAACTGTGTCACGTCCAGCTACAAAGAACCCTGCTTGCCTCATACTACTCTTGTGACGCACGTGACTTGTGTACCCTGTTTAACCTGCATTGGTTTATAAGTTGCCGTCAGGCTACGACTGCTTACAGATCTTTACAAAGAAATATGTGTTTAACGTCGGTAATGGAGCTGAATTGGCCGGTCACGGTAGCCGAGCGGTCTAAGGCATGTATTGTCTTCGCTCGCTTGGAAACCGGGATCGTGGGTTCGAATCTCACTCAGGACATGGATGTTTAGTTTGTGTGTGTGCGTTTTTCTGTTTGTGTACAGGTAGAGGCCTTGCGATGAGCTGATCACCCGCCCAAAGAGTCCTACCGAATGTGTAAGATCTAGAAAAACCGAAGTGAACGGAGAAGTTCATGGAGGTAGGCCTAGGCCCACTGGGGCTGTAGTGCCAAGGGGAAAAAAAAGTGTATTGGTAGATTAATTTAACAACAAAACACAAATAACTATACGTACAATAAAATTGTAATGATACCGCATGAGATTATGGTAACGCAGCGTGCCGATAGTGCTCCGCGCGCAGGTTGAGGGTTGTGCTAATTCTACCGGTAGATGCAGCTGCGAACAGGGGTCTCTCTGTCGTCATTACGGGAAAGAATTATTTAAGCTTACTGCCTAAAACCTCTCTTTTGTATGGTTCCTTGCTGAATGTCATTGTAACTCTGTTTTAAAAATGTTTGGGCCACGAATATGCGGATTCGTAGTACAGATAAAATTTAAGGACGCATATGAAGAGACTTATTATGGGCTCGCCACGTGTTGTTGTGACTTGTATGTGGGTGGGAAATGAGGGAGGCTATGCGCACGCTCTCTATGTTGTTACTAACATTGTAAGACTTCAAGTGCTTCAAGTCAGCCACTCGTTGTGTGACTGCGCAAGTAACTAATGAGGGTTCTTCAACAAATGAATCTCTGTTTATTGCCAAGTGACAGTGGCAGTGATATGCAAGATACGAAGCCCTTTATATCGGATTACGTTTTGCTATAGTGCAGGTAAGTATATTGATGTTTACATGATAGCGTGTAGCGTGGAAGTCCACATGCCCCCGTCTGACCACGGTTGTTGACTTCCCTTGGCAAAACCATAGCAGCTTTATCGCGATTCTGAAATGAATTCTGAGCCACAAACAAACATTGGACGTCTTCGTAGATGCTGAAAGCTACACAATTGGGTCGAAACGGAACTTGGGTTGAGTCCAATAAAAGGGCTGATAATACGGATTCGCCTATATCGAATGTTATAGAAATAAAAGTATGAGTACGAACACCACGAAATCATAATAAATATAATTTATTCGAGATAACAGGCCTCCGGTTAAAGAGTCGAATCCCATTTACGAAGTAAATCTAACCACGAAGAGAACTTTCTTCTGGGATGTTAGGCAGTGTACTCCTATAGTCTGCTAGATGTTTACTGGCGGTTTAGAAGAATTTTCCTACGAAATATAGACAAGCATCTGTCAGACTACATTGCGTAACATCCCAACAGGTAATAATTTCCATGGTCAGAGCCGTGAGAATCAATGAATTTCAAATGAATTGCCGGCCCCCGCTTGCAAAAATTTGAGTAAAACTTCTCCCCATAAGGCTTATAGTGGTGAAAGACGCCATTGCACAGTTATGTAAATGAGACAGTTGGACGGTTCCTTCTTCTGAACTGCTACCTTAACGTTTGCATGTTCTGATCACCTGGCGAGCTATGCTAGCGGGAGCAGAAGCTCGTGGTAGGGTCATCCATGCTCTAGACAGGTCAAGAAGTATGGGCCAAATGAAAGAAAGCCTCTTGTCCTCCAGGTTGGAGGTGTGGCGTGAGGCAAACAACCTCATCTCCTAAAACATGTATTAAGAGGCCTAGCAGCAGATGCCATGTAGAAAATTTAGGGAAACGACTACAGATAAGTTATAATAACCTGAGTTGTATCTTGTAATTTGCAACGTACTAAGTTTATTGAGGATTGGAGCATTAAATGAATTATAAAAAAATAAATTAAGCCATAAGAAGAGTTAGAAGCCCCAAAAAGAGATGACTAGAGAATGAAGAGAATGATTTACGAGCGCTGAAAGTGAAGCGGTGGAGACGAGGCATGTCGTAAAGAGAGCCAAGGTTCGTAGAGTACCATAGATACAAGAAGCAAGCAAGAATTGGATGGTTTTTTAAACCGGATTATAGAAGCGTTATTCAGGAAACTGACCTCACCGCTTTCCGTCAGCATTCTGACCATGGCGCTGACAGAATTTTCGCCTCCAGCCGCGCTGTCCCCTGGAACAAAATGACAGTAACACTCAGTCTCATGAGAGCGCAATCATCATGCATCATCTTGCACAGTAGCTTGACGTCACACCGCCAAGTGCTTTACGATGCTCTTTGTTTTAAGTGATCTAAAGGCGGGTTTACTCTGGGGCAACTTAAAGCAACCTAGTTGCCCTCCTCGGGTGGCGAATATGTTTGCCGTCCAATTTATCAAGCAGCATGCGGTCAGGAGCAACCGTTGCCGCATGCGACCGACCCCATTTACATACAGAGCGACTGGTTGCTTCAATTTTTACGTCATCGTCCGTTGAAAATCCTCTTTTTTGTGCGTTAACCTCAAGAAGGAAACTCAATGACGGGAAGTGCACCCATTGATCACCTTTGGCGGATCCGCTCTTCTTCTTTCTATACCTGTGGAAGGTCGTTCTGAGAATTTTCACCTTTTCTTTCGCTTCCTTCACCGAACATTCAAACTTCGTGGCTAATCCCTCCCATAGCTTCACCTTCTTCCGATTGTCTTTATAACTGGGATGCCGCAAATCCCACAGAAGGCTCTTTTCGCGGTATTCTTCGATAAGACACTTGGCTTTATCCCTGTCCCAACTCATCACGCCGCATGCGAGTGGGCAACTGAACCCAGTAGCGATGGATAACCTGGAGCAACTAGAGGACGCGGGACGCAAGCCGCATGCGATTGCGCTACCCGCTACCTGCTAGTGAGCAACTTGCAGCATGCGATCGCGAGTTGCCAATTGTTGTCTCAATGTAACCCCGCCTCTACCTCGCTGTGTTTAGTTGTTTTCCTCTGACATCTTGAAAACATTAATTTTATATCCAAGAAACCTATTATTTATAAAATTATGTTAGACATTGCCTATTGTCTTAGTTAAATTTAAAATTATACTACGTTTCGGAAGCTGGAAATGCTTCCATCATCAGGTATATCAATAAGTTGTGGGAAGAACAAATCGCCTACTTTCCTTTGATACGACACGGATCTTATACAAAACGACGCCTCCAAAATTTCTTCGTTGCCACGGGAACGTCTTTACTGAGTCGTTATCTAGCAACGTTAGCGGAATACACAGAGTCAGAGTAGGAGTCACTTTACGACTGGCAGTTTACCGCCAATCAGTTCGTCTTGGTGACAAGCCCTTTGAGACTCACGACCAATATTTTTTTTTCAGCTGAACATTTGCGGTTATAGTCCTTATGTAACTTCCTTGCTGACGAGAAGATGGGTCTGTCGTTTAAAATTGTTGCTTATCCTCGACAGCGCAGTCATTCTCGGGGTCCAAGTCCCGCAGGACTCATGCCATATTTCACTGTCTCAGATTCTAGACTCCCCAACCTGAAGGGCCAGGATCCCCTATTTATATCCCCCAGGAACAGGGTGGCCCAGTTATACCCCCAGGCAGTGCGTTCATTTTTCGTCGCCTCCTACGACTCGCAGGGCCACAGTGGAGGTATTCAAACCCGGCTCCACACGGTATGGGATACACAGACAGATCCATAGGCTCTCTTTAACAAGATACGGACCGCGTAGAAAATGACGAGTCCAACAATTTATCTATTGTTGCGTGTATTCGTTGCCACAGGAACGTGTTTACCGAGTCGTTGCCTAGCACTGAAAGGAGCGATACATTAAACCGAGCCGTTACCATGCAAAGACAGGAGGGACACACATACAGACGCAGAGACTGATATGAAGGATTTATGACGTACGACGTTGAGATGTACTCATGCCATGATATACTGTACATTCCAAGTTTCATAAATAATGGTTCAGTTGTAAGATTTGGGGCTTTCACGGCGGTGACTATGAAGAAAGCAGTCTTCTGGGATTTGGCACCGTGTATATGTGGTGTTAACCGACGTTTCGGGGGAACGTATCGCCTCCATTTTCAGGGTAGAAGAAAAAATATAAGAAATCTGCAAGCGAAGAATTCCCAGAAGACTGCTTTCTTCAATGGTTCAGTTATTCAAAAGTTATTAAGAATGGATAAGCAGATTCAGAGAGGAAGGAGCTATAGTATAAGCCTACTTTAGGAAAATAGGTTGAAATGGTATCTTACTCTTAGATCAAGCTAGGCTCGATCACTACGATAGTTCTGTCTCGAGGAACATCTTGACTCTAGGGTAACATTTTGTATACAGGAGCGGTACATGCCTGCCCATGACACGCTCCTCGATCTGATCGCCCGAAGTGGGAAAAAGCACATCAATCAGGAATTTACGGTTCGTCGCAGTTCTTCCAAAGAAATGAGGCAATGAAACACGTAACACAATGACGTGAATTCCTAGCTGCAATCGTCACCGTTACAGAACCTGATCGACCGTAAAGAGGAAACTCTACTTCAGTTACCATAGCACAGTAACCTCGAACTTGACAGGTTTAATTAAATGTTCGTTGGTTTAATCTAACAACCGGGATCGGTCAGTATGAAGGGCTCGGGAAGTCACGAGTAGTGAAGTCCATCTACTGTACGCACAAACATACGTCACAGCTTGTGTAGGCAAATGTTATGTTTTTGGACATTACCTTGACTTTATCTAAAAGCCGTCTTGTTTATTTTCAAAACACAACGTTTCGGAGACTGGTTTTTGTCTCCGTCTTCAGGTAAAACCTACTCAGTTGGGCCCAATCGATAGAGCTAGTCCCTATCTCCCAACTGAGAAGGTTTTACCTGAAGACGGAGACAGAATCCAGTCTCCGAAACGTGTTTTGAAAAAGTAATCCGGAGATAGAGACCAGTTCTATCGATTGGGCCCAACTGAGTAGGTTTTACCTGAAGACGGAGACAAAAACCAGTCTCCGAAACGTTGTGTTTTGAAAAACATAATGTTTGTACTAATGTACCATTGTCACAGACTTTTAGATCTTACTGTATAGGCAACCTCACGGTACAGAAAGTCCTGTTTAAATGTGCCTGAATTTCCCACCGCCATATGAATACTGGAAGTATGTTGAAAACAGCGTCCAGAAACTTTATAATTATGACATAACGGCTTATGTTACTTACTGGTGATTATGCCCTCTCGTTCTCATAGTAATTTCAGTATACCAATGCTCTTTCTACTTCGTGTGTCACGTTTGTCATGTAATAGGCGCATCATATTCAGTCTCAGTGCAGCAGGTGGCAGTAGAAACACAACTGCCTGAACCAGTCTTAGGCAATGGATCTAAATAAACGAATTAAAGCGTAGACCCCGACTCTCCACACGGGGGACTAACTCTTCTCAACTGAAATCTTCTTTATAACCACTTGCACGGACCACGCAAAAAAAAAACAGCTTCTATATTGTTTGGATAGCGTGTTTACTGCGCCGTTGCATAGCAACGAAATTGACTCGATTGTTGCTTGAGTATTCATTGCCCCGGGAATTTGCCGAGTCGTTGCCTAGCAATGGACGTCTATTATGACTTCGCTATTCTGGCTTTCGGGCGTCATGTCACAATATATGCCACTTGCTTTAACGTTAAAAGACTCCGCATCTTAGCCATGAAGTATATTTAAGTGTTTCATATGATTCTCAGAATAAAGAATGCTGGTTTACGTGAAGTGCATCAACCATCTGTTTTTTATAATTACAGTGGTTTATCTGTACTGCAGTGCTACACGGTTTGCCGACAAGTTACCTTTGTCCGGAGGAGGCGAACATCAAAGCCAGTAAGGTATGCAGAAATGTAAGCGACCCAATCGGAAGCTATGTGGGCACATTCGTGACTGCCGTGTGTTGTGTCGGGAAAACCAGGAATCTTTTTATAAACAAATGGGCCCCATAGAACGTATCTGAAAGCTGTTCTCAAGAGAAATGGCCTAGCGAAGTGGAAAGAAGGAGCAATACTTGTAGCTGAGTGGGTCGCAGACTGGAAAGGGTACTGAACTTGCTCCACTGAATTCCCTTCATGCACACGTCTCCGTAACAAGTTTCACATGTCAGGTTACAATGATTTATGAAAGTGAAGCCTCTCTTTCGACCTCAATGTACTTTCTTCCCCCTTCCTTACAAAATTTTATTCTAATTAATGTTCCTTAATTTTCCATGTTCGCCCTCCATTAGAAACATCAGACCCTTCAACACAAAAGAGTTAGTGTTTTCTTAAAATGTTGTGGGATCAGGCGGCCGCTTTACCACCGGCGAAAGAACCCCCGGTACCAATTGGTTAGGAAGCTGGGTGGACCCAGATCCGGTCTGGACGCTGTGGTGAAGAGAAAATTTTTGCCCCTACAAGGACTTGAACTCTAACCCCTCGGTAGTCCAGCTCGTAGCCAGTCGCTATACTGTCATCATACAATTCGAATTTACATTAAGCCATTTCACAACCCATTTATCTTAGTCACAGTTGCACAAAGAGGCTTTCTGTTTCGGTTCACGTGACCAACCCTGAGCTGTCAAACCATCCCTGGTCGGCCGTCTGTATCTGCTTCTTCGGCAAACTCGTAGCTTTCCTCCTGTAGATCCTTCAGTGAATACGGGACGCGCCGTACAACAAGGAACAGATTTCGAGTAAATCTATTCTCTTTATCACTGAATTATTAAACTCATATTACATATTGTGACGTGTATACTCATCGCTAGGCAACGATTCGGTAAACACGCCTCAATACTAGAAAGGCTGTTATCTATGTGGTCCGCGCAGCGATTGTTGCTATGCAATGGCGCGGTAAGCCCGCCTAAAACAATACGGGACAATAGAAGACGGTGATTTCAGTGGGGTCAGTGCAAAGTAGTTGTAAAGCATCATTCAACTGAGCAAGATAGAGTGAAAAGTAGAGCTTCGAGACGCCAGCCTGCCGGAATATGAGCTTGGTAGAAGAAAGAACTGAACCGAGTCGAGTCTTCGGAATTGGCCGATGCAGAACAATGGCAAGAAAGGAATTTAGACTGTAAAAGACTCCATATGTGATTTTAAGTGACAGCGAGACTATTACGACTATACTATACTCGTATAAAACCGTTGCCAGGATACGACTAGTGAAGAATGAGAACCCTACTGCGTGTGTAACAGTGACAAAGTGTGTAAAGCAGCAATAGCGTTGTATTGCCTGTAGTCCCGAGTTGTGTGTACAAGATGTCAATAAATCCAGTCATCCAATCCAGAACCCGTCTATAAGTCACGCACAACACCTCTAAATCGTGACAATATATTTTATCTTGTCACTTCAAGGCCAATGAAAATGATGTGCCGCAAGAACGCTCATCATCTAAGGCTGCAGATTTCATTTTGTTGACAGTATTTTTATATATATTTCTTGGGGTGGGGTGAGACTGGATCCACTTGATATACTGCCCACTGCTTTGACAGTAAGTAACATGCCCTTACGGTTCAATCGAGCAAGTTGGCTCAATCGGTAAAGATTTTGACTTCTATTTAGGAGGTGCTCGGTTCGAATCTCAGAACCCCGACTATCCTGACTTAAATTCTTCATGTTTTGCATTCGACTCCCCACATATATCGGGATAGCTTAAATTAGGCCACGACCACTGCATTCCAAATCATTTCCAGTCATTCTGCGAGCTATATTTGTAGTCACTGACTGTCACTGAATAAATAAACAAGCAGATGTTAAAGAGTCAGTTGCGTATCTTAGAAAAGGAAAGAGCCCCATAAAGTGACTGGCCTCTTGCCGCTTTGTCTTGTCCTGCTCTGGGGCTCGACCAGTCTCCTAGTTAATCAGCTTAATAGAGCCGCGGTGTTTAAGTCACGGAATTTATAAAATTATTCGCATTTCGTTTAGATAATCTTTCTTTAAAATTAAAGTGAACACATGGTAATTTCGTGAAATACCGTATTTACGGATGTATGGGCCGCAAATGTTTTGCCAAAAATTCAAGAGGAAAACTGGGGTGCGGCTTATATTCGAAATATTCGAAATCACACTTCATTTTAAAAAAATTATATTCATAATTAGTAATACAGGGTGTAATACTCCTGAAATAATATTCCAAGAAAATTATTTTTTCTGTAATTTCTGTCTGAAAATTGTGCTGCGGCCTATACATGCGTAAATATGGTATATTCGATGTTTTCGCTATAAGAGACGGACTGAACCGTTACTCATTTTATATGCATAAATAAACAGTGGAAGGTCATCAAATATAACAAGTATGCGATTCTTATCTATGTATGACGTTTCCGGCTTGATAAATAATGAACCACTCAGGCTACGTATGTTATATTTATTGTATAGATGTATCATAAGCATTTATATAGCAATAGCTCTACAGCCTTGTAGAATTTGGCCGCTTTTTCGATTTCTTAATCCTATATACAGTTGGTAGGACTCCTTAGACGGGGGATGAGTACGTCAGAATGCCGCTACATACACAAAGACATCCGTGCCTTGAGTGGGATTCGCACCCGCCCCCCAGCGAACGAAGACAGTTTATACCTTACACAACGCGGCCACCGTGACACTAGGCATACTCGCTAATTTTGTATGAAACACGTTATAAAAGAAAACTCCGTGATTTCAGTATGCAAGCGAACTATACCGACCGAGCGACCGCCGCTTGTCGGCAAAGTTTAGTGCCAACTTTTGCGGATAGAGGTTGTATAAAACACGTTATATGCGTTAAAAATTACAAACAAGGCAGTGGTGAAAATTTTTGTTGTCATGTCTGACAGGTATAATATACCGATTGCCTCTATGTAATTATCCTTTCATAGTGTATATGTATAAAAAGTAATGTAACAGTGAGATGAATGCTTTGAAATTATACAGCAACGAATTATCAAGCGTCAACACCTTACATAAGCATAAGTTACTTAGTAGGTTACGAAGGAGCAAATATGTTTCGTTTCAGTGTATCGTGTCTATTCTTATATATTGACGATATTTAAGTGTGGATATATGAAATACAGCATAGTATATATAGAGGCGGTTTGCGATTGATATTTGTCCGTGCTGTTCGTGGCAGATAGCGTCTAATGTCGGCCTCAGCGCCTCATTCAGTAACACACAGGACTGGAAATACGAGAGAAAGCAGGGGAAGTTAATAAGACAAAAGCTTACATAAAGCGTTGATGATACTCGCGATGAATTCTCAACGAGTGTTATGCTGCTGTTTTATAATTTCTTCTTGTCTCTATATATGGACAGAAACATTTTAACGGAAATTTCTTACAACAGTTACTGTAAACTCATTCATAGAGCTGAGCCTTTCTTGAGAAGTCGCCAATTGTGCAGCTACTCAAGAATCTCCCAGCATTTTATGGAATCCGAAGGTTCATTACCGTGTTCACAAGAGCCCTCCACTGGTCCCTATCCCCAGCCAGATCAATCAAATCCATACCATCCCATCCTATCTCCCTAAGATCCATTTTATTATTGTCCACCCGTCTACGCCTTGGTCTTCCCATTGGTATCTTTCCATTTGTCGTTCCCACCAATATCCTATATGCATTCTGCTTCTCCCCATTCGTGCTACATACCATACCCACCTCATCCTCGACTTGATCATTCTGATTATACTTGGAGAAAAGTTCAAGTCAAAGAGAATCGAAATTGATATATTTTCAGTTAAATTCTGAGAAGATACAATATACGTGCCTGCCAAAGCTGTATCGGCTACAAGAGTTACACGCTCTGAGACTTAACAGTGCTCCCCTCCCCATTTTTTTTCAGTGTCTGAGCTTTTATTACGTTTTGCAGTAATTCCATGCTTTCGTCAGTCAGCCATAACGCGTTACGTTTGCTTTATTGTGCACCTCTAGCGCCATTACCGTTAGTCGAGCAACATTATGTATCTCTAGCAAGATAGAAAGGAAGTGAGAGCTCTGCATTCTCCTCACTTAGTGTACATATAGACAATCCATCCTTCACGCTTTACGTCACAAATCATTATATTTATTTCGTTAGAATTTAACATGGATGCCTTCAAACAAAATTTTTGTGTGATTTTACTTTTGGTATATATCTGCCAGTTATGTAGGAGTCGGGATAGCGCAGTCGGTATAGCGACTGGCTACAGCCTGAACGACAGATTGGTCGGAGTTCGAGTCCCGGTGGGGTTAAGAATTTTCTCTTCTCCACGTCGTCCAGATCGTTTCTGGGGCCCACCCAGCCTACTATCCAATGGGTAGCGGGAGTTAAAGTGGCCGGGGCGTGAAGCTGACCGCTCACCTCCAACTAGTGCCGAGGTCTAGGAAACATCCACTCCCCCCATACACCTTCATGTCGTAAGTGCTTAGATGGTTAAATAGAGAGACAACTTTACCTTTTTAGCTTTTATCTGTCAATTATGGGATCTTACGATATTAGAAATGCGTACAAAAATTTAGCTGGGAAATCTGAACGGAAGACATGGGAGAATAGCGTTAATTGGATGGTAAAGAAATGGCGTATGTGGCTCAGGATACGGACGAACATGATAAAGAAGCTCTAGCTCCCATAAAGGACACGGAATGTCCTGATTAGCTGAGCGACTCTGAGGACTCTGGTCCAGTGACATGGCTTCTGCATCATAGTCGAGCTGTCTAGGGCCCTAATCTGGATCCTAAGACGGACGGACTGTACTTACTGACACGTTTCTTAGTTTTGTTCATTCCCTTTCAGTCTAATGCCGGTTAGCGGCTAAAATTATGCAAAGAGCGCTTCCTTCCACATGGAATTCCTTTCTTTCTGTTCATAGTAGTATTCAGTGCTGTTAGCTTCGTTAATTATACGAATCAAGTAATGACTCTGTTTTCACTCTGGTTTCCTTCGTGGCTTATTCCACTACCTTGAAGATGGATACCACATATTCCTTCGAAACATCTGTTAATTTTCAACTCACTACACAGTGTTGTATCCCTAAAGATAGAGCTCTTCATATCCTAGGGGCATGCTACCTAATCGTAACACTGACAGTAAGCAGGAGTGTGTGAGTTACCCATGTACACGTAAAACAAATGGCCTTTATGCCACAGGAGGCCTAATGATTTCAAAATAACCTTTTCTATTAAACTACTTTCTACGGTGCGCTCGAGGGGGCCTAAGTGGTATGAAAGAGGCCTACTCTTCCCACAAGAAACCGACCACAGTGATCGCGCCTTCTAAGTCATGAACTATCTTCGCCCGCTGGAGCACTGGGATCTTTGCTTCGAATCCTACTGAAGGCATGGATGTCTGTATGCGTTTATTCTGTGTTTGTGTTGTTCTATGTGTAGGAAGGCCTTGCGACGGGCTGATCGCCGGTCCAAGGAGTCCCACCGTCTGTCTATAGGATTAAGAAACTGAAAAAAAAAACAGCCCAAGTCCAACAAAGGGCTGTAGATAGATCCCACAACTCCTCACCCACTTCTTTAAACAAAACAAACAGACCAAAGCTTTCATTCTTGTATAGTTCTGAGATAGGACGAGTGCTTAAACAGGTGTGTGACGTGAAGTGTTCAAATCAGCTGCTTAACTTGCTGAGGAGGATACGGAAGCAGTGAAGCTGCAACGTCAGATACCATTGAAGAGCGTTCTGCCTCTACACAACGTCTCGCTTGTGGCATTGACCTCCGCGCACAGAACTCAGTTGTAAATGGCTGAAATTGAGGAAGGTGCATTGCCGCAAATTATATGTTACGTGTTTATTGAATGAATTTGAAGACTGATTTGTTCTGACCAAATTACCGCCAGGCTCTTACACGCTAGACGTTCCCACGCAAGCGCAGTGTCTCTCTCGGCTATAATTACATGCTGCCTTAACAACCGCGCCACTGATGTTACGGACTAAATAGCTAACTATCACACTGACGAAACAAACCCTGTACTGATTTACGAAGTGGCTGAATAACTTATTAACTAAAATTAATTAACTTATACAGGCGTAGTTCTTCTTCTGCCTCGACTGATTAGACTCTCCGGCCTGTTGCCATTCAGAATTAATTTTGAAATTATTAATCTTATACACCATTTGTAGGACTCCTCGGGCTGTGATCAGACGCTCGCAAGGCCTCTACATAGACAGGAAAACACAAGCAGTCTGTGATCAGATTTATAATTACTTGCACCGCTGATCTTTGGTGAAGTGTCTTCTGCTCTGCTCGAAGCTCAACTGTCCTTGGTCCCTTGTCGGATACGAACTCTTCTGTTATAGTCGGATAAGAACTCTTCTGGTCTCAAGTCAAAGTCAAAGTCACACTGCGACTAACGGTCAGTCAATCAGTATGTCTTGGCGTCGAGCCCCATCTGGGGCTCATGACGAGATAATAATTATTGCCGTTTGACAGTTACTGTCTTGTTTCTGTGGGGCGCCCTCTCTGACGAGAAGACGGGTCTGTCTTTTGCGTACGCTGCTGGCCCTTGCCAGCGCATTCTTTCTCGGGTCCGAGTCCCTTGAGACTCGCGACCATATTTTACTGTTTCAGATTTGAGACTTCCCTTTTCGTCGCCTCCTACGACTCGCAGAGTCACGGTGGAGGTATTCGACACCGCCTCCACACGGTGTCTGCTGGTCTCTTGCCGAATACCCACTGTTATATCTGGCCTCGGACTGAATAGGGAACACCTCGTCGAAGGGTTAACTTAGCCCGCTGCTATGCAAATGCTGCTTCAAAGAATTCGTTGCTGCAGGAATACGTGTCTGCCTCAAACAATTCGTTTGTAACGGTGGAAACCCATCGTTAGACTTTCATTTCCGTGGCAACGATTTCCTAGGAGTCCCTACCTAGAAACTGCTATCCGTTGTATAGCAATGGATGCCTCCTGATTCCAAATATTCCGGCCCTAGGAGGTACGTCACAATATTTTCGTTGCTAGATGGAGGTGAGTCGTCAGCTTCAGACCCCGGCCGATTAAGTTCCCGGAAATGAGCCTCCCATTGGATAGGAGGTCGGGTGGGGCCCTTAGCGGGTCCGGAAGTTGTGACAATGAGGATACTCTGCACACTACACGCAGCACGAGGCTGACGTGAAAGTGCAACCCGGCAGCTACCGTGTATTGTGTTGTACTGGGAGGCTGAAATGACGTGGGAACGATGCATCGTGACATACTTTGCATCGGACCGAGGGACACTCCCAGTAGCTGACCGCCTGTACCTCGGAGTGAACGTAAACATACGCCCCAAGCAAACTGCAGGGGAACTTCTCACGTGCGCATTTTTCTGCGCATAATTAGTTCCTTGCAGAAGAACAGTGAGGAGCCGGTAATCGTCTGAGGCACGAATTTCACCTGAATAATCTAGTTCCTGCCTCGCAGATAAACCCTGCATCTAAATTACAAAGATCATTACAGCTTAATGCTGTTTAGGAAATTAATCTCTCTGTAGTCTTATAATCATCACTAACTCATGGAGCTGAGCCCTTCTTAAGAAGCCGCCAATTGTGCAGCTACTCAAGAATTTCCCAGCATTTTATGGAACCCGAAGGTTCATTACCGGGTTCACAAAAACCCTCCACTGGTCCCTATTCAGAGCCAGATCAATCCAATACATCCCATCCCATCCTATCTCTCTAAGATCCATTTCAATATTGTCAACCCACCTACGCCTTAGTCTACCCAGTGGTCTTCCTTCTGGCTTTCCCACCAATATCCTATATGAATTCCTCTTCCTCCCCCCCCTTCTGATAAACGTACTAGTCTTATTACACTGTGTGGGCAGAATGCATACTTTTCTAGTATGAAAGCAGGTGGTACGTATGGCAGTCACTGGGCTTTGAATGAGTGTAACAGAATACATTTGTGTTCTGCGTTAAGAAATATGCAAGCTGAAGACTGACAGTTAGCTGTGCTGTAAGAACTAATCTCTTTGCGGCAGCTTCACCAGCTGCTTCAGGAATGCATGTTGGAATTAACCGAGTGGAGGATGTAGCTTAAATAAATATACGGTAACAAATAGCACGATGACAGCAACGTAAAATTTCTCTCGGCATTTCATCATATGACACGCAGCACGATGGTCTTAGAATTGTAATGCGTGCAACATACAGCAATTTCACATTTTATAACTGTCTCACACTGCCCTACAAACTGACACTCACCAATCGTCTTTTTGCGTCCTTTTATGCTGTGAATAGAAGCAGTGACTGGTGATTAATCCTGATAAGTGATGCTGCTGTAAGATACAGTCTTGAGCGTAAATCTTCCCATATATTACTCCCGTGCTTTGTTCGTTCACTGGCCGAAAGTCTCTCCCTAACTTTCCACCAACTGGATCATAATCAGTATCACAGTCAAGTCTAAAATATCGGGTGTCAGTTACGAACTTATTTGAGTGAATCTTTTTAGAGGCTCTGTAAGGCATTTTGTAACATGCTAGTTCTCGCTTTTTGAGGAGCATGAGGATTAAAGTCTGTCGGCTGCTGAAGACTGCTTATTCACAATTTCTGCCTCTACAGGCCGTCTGTTTATATCTGTCGGAATCTACTGCCTCAGTTGTCTCTCTGATAGGTCCCATAGGGTAGGAATTGGCATTTTAAGCCCACGTTCCTAATTTTAAAAAGTTCAGTCATTCACTCATGGAGCTGAGCCTTTTTTGAGGAGCCGCCAATTGTGCAGCTACTCAAGAATTTCCCAGCATTTTATGGAACCCGAAGGTTCATTACCGTGTTCACAAGAACCCTCCACTGGTCCGTATCCTGAACCAGAACAATCCAGTCGGTACTATTCCATCCTATCTCTCTAAGATCAATTTTAATGTCGTCCATCTACTTACGCCTTGGTCTTCCCAGTTGTCTCTTTCCTTCTGGCTTTCCCACCAATATCCTATATGCATTCAGCTTCTCCCCAGTTCGTGCTGTATGCCCTGTCCATCTCACCCTCCTTGACTTGATCATTCTAATTATACTTGGAGAAGAGTACAAGTTATGAAGCTCCTCATTATGTAGTTTTCTCCAACCTCCTCTCACTTCATCCCTCTTCGGTCCAAATGTTCTCCTCAACACCCTGTTCTCAAACACCCTCAGACTATGTTCCTCCCTTAATGTCAGAGACCAAGTTATTTTAAAAAGTTAGGTTTATTATATCAACAGATCCGTGAGCCGACACGATTTCGCTTCTCAGAACTTTGAGCCAATTGACGAATTTTCCTGAAGATTGGTATGAACATAATGCCTCTAGATATCTCTCTTTCCTTTGTACTTACCATCACTAATACCAGCATGTCGGCCGTGCGAACTAACGAGATGGGAGCGACATTAATACCACTTACTGTAAGATCGTGAAAATTTGTGTTACGTTGTATGTATCTTGGAAAATATTGCACTTATATGAAAATATGCTCATTTCTTTTTGCAAAACGCAGAACAATATAATGGCAGTCAAGAGAATTGTATACGCCTATTTTCTCTTACTTCTATGGCAATAAGTCTGTTCTAGCGGAAATTGTGTATAGAAATAAATTATTTGTATAATTTATGGTTCTTGCTAGCCTCATCAAGTACACGGAAACGTTTGAAGTAAAGCAATAGTTGTAAAATGTTACACGAGCTTGTATTTCAGTTTGGCTGGGGGAAATTTGCTGTATAAAGTACAGAGGCGTGAGAGTTCTGCTTCAAGGCCCTAAAGGAGTCGAAGATTCGGGGCACACTTGCCTGAGAGCATATCTTCTGGCTGCAACTTCACTTCCATCGCCTTGAGCTTTGTGTGCAGCTCCCGTGTGTGGATGAACAGGAACAATGTGGTCGAGATTGCCATCAAAGCCACCAGTTCACTTGTCCTGCAAGCAAAACATACGTACATTCTTCTGTCATTCCTACGCGGTACATCCCAGGGTCGAGTCTCTGCCCAGAGTTCGTTCTTTACTCATTCGGTCATTTTAATCTGTCAGTGGGTGAGTGAGCGATTGGGAATAGCTCAGTCGGTATAGCGACTGGTTACGCGCTGGACGACCGAGGGGTCGAGGCTCGAGTCCCGGAAGGATCAATAATTTTCTCTTCTCCAAATCGTCCAGATCGGCTCTGGGGTCCACCCAACCTCCTATTCAATGGGTACCGGGGGCTCTTTCCCCGGGGGTAATGCGGCAGGGTCTTGAAGCTGACCACTCACTTCCAGCTAGTGCCAAGGGCAAAAAATATCAATCTATAAATCCATTCCCTCATATGCCTTCATGGCGTAATGCTTAATTAATTAAACACAGGGGCAAATCTACCTTACCTTAAGTGGCTAAGTGAGAAAGTCAGTTGTTTTTCAGTCACCAACAGGAAAAATCAGTCAGGAAACGGGTTTTCATGACAGAATTCCGTCACCCACAGCTTCCATGTTAACGAGGTTCTGGTTGTTGCTATGTACCACCAGAATGAGAACGTGTTTATGTGCCAACATATTCTTCAGCAGACATCTGCCTCTTTCCTTACAATAAAATCTCATATGCATTCATAGCCAATTGTCTGTCCTTCCCAAACGGATTGGCACAGAAAAAAAATGCAAATATAATACATGTTCTCCCTGAACATACAACCCAAAAAAGATGGCTAATTTTGTTTTATAGGCATGGGTTTGAGTCCAAGTCAAAAATTCCCTTATTTCCTTCTTAAGAAGAGCATCGGGACAGTAATGAAATTGTGTACGTAACCATGGTAACGAAACATGTTCTGCAGGTTATAAAGACAGGGATGCGAACTGAAGAACGTAGAAACGACGAAGCCTTTTTTCTTAAATTCCATTGCGGATTTACGTTTGTACGGTCACGCTACGAATATAGGGAGAATGAGGAGTATTGATAAAAGGAAAATAAATATGAATCAATGAGAAGAATTGTGATTGGAGAAGTACTGATAAAGGAAAAGGAAAATGAGAATGAGAGAAAGAGGAAAGGGAGAGGAGGAAAACAAATAAGGAATGACACTGACAGACTGAAAAGAAAACGAAGAAATAAGAAGCAATAATGAAAGAAGGAGAGTATCACTGGATAGTGCATGTTGTTATCAACCAAGTTTAATGCCTTTTCAAGGGTTTGAGGTTAGGTATTCTTGAATAATTTTGTTTTTAATAATTCCGCATTGAAATTTATATATGCTGTAAGCTGTTTTTTCTTTTTATTCCTCATCAGACACAATAATCTATGATTGGTTTCCAAGAAACATCACGTTTATATTCAGCGTGAAATATGTGTTCGTCATGAATTCATCTATCCTACAAAGGAATTCAGAGGAGCAATTGTTACTTCTCATAATTGCTGTTTGCAGTTCCTGAAGGTTTCCATGGGTCCGAGCTATAACTGCACAAGCGTGTAATTTTATCACAATGTTGAATATACTAGCAATGAAAAGGACAACGATAAACGTGACCGTAATAAATAAATAAATAAATAATAACAACAGTTGGCAACGCAGCTGCATTTCTGAACTCTCTTACACGCTCTCTAAACCGAATTGTTACCAAGGCAAGAGAGCTGTTATACTACAGAATTATGGATTGAAATTTCATTGTTACGTGGAAGAGCGTGCACGTTTTAAAGAAACGCTGCAGTTTGAAAACTGGAAAACTATAAATAGCAATGATTTCCGGAACAAATTGAAACTACTAGGACAAAAATCTAAATTAGAATTAATTTACTGCCATCTGAAAGCGACCATGATCACGAATGTGATTTATTATTGCTATTAAAAAGCTAAGCTATCCATTTAGCAGGCCGTGGAGGCCCATAGGTTTGTGAGACGTCGAGACTCCCACATTTTCTAGACAATCAGCTCACAGATGGCGGTAAGTTTGTTAGCCTTATGATCCGGCCGCCTTTTACCCTCAGGAAGATTCCTGGTACTCATTTCTGTTAGAGACTGAATCAGTCTCAGGACCATAGTGCTTGGAAAAGTTAGGTCAATTGAAAAATCCAGTGACCTCATCGGGAATCGAACCCGTGACCATCCGGCTTGTAGCATAGTGCCTCAACCAAGGATGCTACCGCGAACCCCCCATTATTGCGATGAGGCTTATCATATACGATCTGAGGTTCTCTCGACAGCGGTTATGAGTTCTTTCCTCTGGAATGTAATGCTGTGTAATTCGCTGAAAGCCAACCGATGTTTCGCAGGAACATGTCGCCTCCATCTTCAGAGTCGAAGAATAAGTTAAGCACTACTTTTTTTTTCTTCAGGCAATTTCTTGCTTAGATTATTATTATTATTATTATTAT